GGCTAGTGGTTTATCAGTTTTGTTAATTCTTTCAAAGAACCAGCTTCTGGTTTCATTGATCTGTTCTGTTTTTTTTGGTTTTGATAGCATTAATTTCTGCTTTAATCTTTATTATTTCCTGTCTTCTGCTGGTTTTGGGTTTTATTTGCTGTTCTTTTTCCAGCTCCTTAAAGTGTAAGGTTAGGTTGTATATCTGAGGTCTTTCTCCCTTCTTTAGGAAGGCCTGGATTGCTATATACTTTCCTCTTATGACCACCTTTGCTGCATCCCAGGGGTTTTGGGTTGTGGTGCTATCATTTTCATTTCATTCCATATACTTTTTAATTTCTTCTTTAGCTGCCTGGTTAGTCCATTCATTCTTTAGTAGGATGTTCTTCAGTCTCCAAGTATTTGTTACCTTTCCAAATTATTTCTTGTGGTTGATTTTGAGTTTCATAGCATTGTGGTCTGAAAATATGCATGGTATGATCTCGATCTTTTTGTACTTACTTAGAGCTGATTTGTGTCCCAGTATGTGGTCTATTGTGGAGAACGTTCCATGTGCACTGGAGAAGAATGTATATTCTGCTGCTTTAGGATGAAATGTTCTGAATATATCTGTTAAGTCCATCTGGTTCAGTGTGTCATTCAAAGTCATTGTTTCCTTGTTCGTTTTTTGATTAGATGATCTGTCCATTGCTGAGTGGGGTGTTGAAGTCTCCTACTATTATGGTATTACTATGGATGAGTTTCTTTATGTTTGTGATTAATCGATTTATATATTTGGGTGCTGCCACATTTGGCGCATAAATGTTTACAATTGTTAGGTCTTCTTGGTCTATAGACCCCTTGATTATGATATAATGCCCTTCTGCATCTCTTGATACAGTCTTTATTTTAAAGTCTAGATTGTCTGATATAAGTATGGCTACTCCGGCTTTCTTTTGTTGACCATTAGCATGATAGATGGTTCTCCATCCCCTTATTTTCAATCTGTAGGTGTCTTTAGGATTAAAGTGGGTCTCTTGTAAACAGCATATTGATGGGTCTTGTTTTCTTATACATTCTGTTACCCTATGTCTTTTGATTGGAGCATTGAGTCCATTGACGTTTAGAGTGAGTACTGAAAGATATGAATTTATTGCCATTATGATGCTTGTAGAGTTGGAGTTTCTGATGGTGTTCTCTGGTCCTTTCTAATCTTTGTTGCTTTTAGTATTTATGTACTTATACGTATATATTTTCATCTTTTCTCCCCTCAGAGAGTCCCCCTTAAAATGTCTTGCAGGGCTGGTTTAGTGGTCACAAACTCCTTTAATTTTTGTTTGTCTGGGAAACTTTTTATCTCTCCTTCTATTTTGAATGACAGCCTTGCTGGATAAAGAATTCTTGGCTGCATATTTTTCTGATTCAGCACACTGAATATATCCTGCCACTCCTTGCTGGCCTGTCAAGTTTCTGTGGATAGGTCTGCTGCAAACCTGATCTGTCTTCCCTTGTAGGTTAGGGACTTGTTTTCCCTTGCTGCTTTCATGATTCTCTCCTTGCTTGAGTATTTTGTGAATTTGACTATGACATGCCTTGTTGATGGACGGTTTTTGTTGAATCTAATGGGAGTCCTCTGTGCTTCCTGGATTTTGAGGTCTGTGTCTTTCCCCAGGTTAGGAAAGTTTTCCACTATGATTTGCTCACATAACCCTTCTACCCCTATTTCTCTTCCTCTTTTGGGACCCTTATGATTCTGATGTTGTTCCTTTTTAATGAGTCGCTGATTTCTCTAATTCTTAAATCGTGCTCTTTTGCCTTCATCTCCCTCCTTATGGCATATCCATAAAACGAAGCTTTATTTGACAGTGAAACAGAAGAAATTACTGATTCATTGTATAACATGGACAAGCCTTGATAACATTACACTAAGTGAAAGAAGTCAGTCACAAAAGACATTCTTATGAAATACCCCAAAGAGGCAAACCCATAGAGACAGAAAGTAGATTAGTATTATTCAGAGGCAGGGTGAGTAGTTCAGGAGATGTCCAAATGACTGCTAATAGGTTTGGGGTTCCTCTTTTGAATGACAAAAATGGTACAATGCTAGGTAGGTGGTAGTATTTGCACAACTTTGTGAATATATTAAAAAACTACTGAAGTTTATACTTTAAATAAGTGAATTTATGATATGTGAGTGATATTTATGATATGTGAGTGGAAAAAAAATGTAAAGCAGGATGTGTGCTTGATTTTGTCTCTTTAGTTACGAAGTTTTGGAATAATGAGTCACTCTCAGGGACTCTTTCTTCTTTTGTGGAGGCCCCCAGGGTGGGCAGGAGTGGCTGTTTAAATTTTTGTATGTTTGATTTGCTGACCAGAGTGTGATCCAAATAGTGCTGCTGTCTTCCTTTCCCTAGTAAGGAAAGAGGATGGGGTCTTGACTCGTGTTTACATCTGTGTTCCCAGAAGCAAGAATTATGTCTGATGCACAGTAGGTAGTCAATAACTAGTGTTGGATAAATGAATGAATGAGTGCCTCCAATAGTTCATCGCTTGGAACTAATTCTCTCTGGTTTCCTAATTCTAATATCTTGCTCTGTGATCACAAACAACCATTCTCTAGTTTCCATATATTATGACTCTGCCTAGAGCTACTCTTCGTGTTATTCTAGACCAGACTGTACAGCAGGGTGCATGTCAATGAGGGCAAAAATTGAGGTTGAAATCCCACCTGGGCTCCAGTTGCAGAGTTGGCTCCCCTTGCGCTGAAGTTGGTCATCCAGGGAAAGGGGGCCTCAATTCCTAATTTTACTGTCCAAAGGGGGACCCATCTTCTAATTCAACCCAGAAGGCCTACTGTTGCACAATCTCTCCTCTTGGACTGGGTGCTTTTTTCTAATTCTCACAAAGGCATCTTACGTGTTGGTAGCCATGTTTTCAAATCATTGGCCCCATGAACCCTATGTTTCTTCCAAAATTATTGGCCTTTTCCTGGCATCATATCCTTTTTCTTTCAGGCTGGATCCCATAGATCCAACTATTTTACCTTCTTATTAGAACTCACAAATGCAAGTTTCCCACATTGTAATTTCACCTTCTCTGTATGGAGTGTTGTAGGGAAACCCTCACAATCACATGGATAAGCAGCACAACAAATACATGGTTTCAAATCTCATTGGCTTTATCTGTGTTTTTCATCTGCCCTTTGACTATGATTTGATCATTTCTGTGTCTGATTCATATAACTCTTAACCCAAACAAGTCCTTTACCAACTACTACCTTTCACTCTTAGATGACTGCCTAGCCATTTATTTCAAAGGAAAAATTAAGGCTGTCATGCCCTTCCCTTATGTTTCCCAATATATGTATTTACATGACAATTATTTCCTATTTGTTTACTTGCTGAGAACCGGGTATCCTTCCTCTGTTCCTAAAGTGTATATCTCCATGTCCCTGTGCTATTAACCTCATTTCCTTTCATGGGCTCATGATCCTTATTCCATCAGTTACCTCTTTGTCTGCAGTATATTCAAATCTTACTCCCTATTCTACATTTCCTCTTAAACTATGTATGTACTCAAATCTCTCTCCCTCTTTTTTTTTTTAAGTTTATTTATTTATCTTTGAGAGAGAAAGAGAGAGAGACAGAGAGCATGAGCTGGAGAGGGGCAGAGAGAGAGAGGGAGACACAGAATCCAAAGCAGGCTTCAGGCTCTGTGCTGACAGCTCAGCTGGGGCTCAAACCCACGAACCATGAGATCATGACCTGAGCCAAAGTCGGGTGCTCAACCAACTGAGCTACCCAGGCGCCCCTCGAGTCTCTCTTATAGTTGTAGTTTCTAGTTGATGGTTGACTGAACAGATGCTACTTCTTTCTCATGTCAACTCCAATGCCAAGAAATTAAAAAAAAAAAAAAAAACAAAACCTTGCTACACTGAAAAACAGGAAGTGACATTATTGTTGAACCAGAATCTGTGAATTCCTAGGGAACAAAAAGTATACAGACTGTACTGAAGAAAGAGTGCATAACCTAAAGACACTGCAACAGAAGACGGTTCTAAATGGTGGAAGTTCCTGCATTTCATGAGCAAACGACATACACATATAGCACACAGGTATTCCACTCCTGAATTCATTTCTTAAAGAAATTATTCAAGGGGCAAAGAACTGTAGGCAACCTAGATGTTTATCTCTAGTAGAGCGAATGTGTAAAATGTTCTGGATGCGTGCCGCAGAGTGTTGGGCAGTATTTAAAAATCAATTTGATAGATGTACTGATAGCAGTGTGGATAGATCTTAAAAACGTACCGCTGAGAGAAAAAAAAGTACGTTGTGTATGTATGTTGTGTGTTTGATCTACACGAATTACAAACACATGCCTACCGTACAATGCCATGCATTGTCTGGAAACACTTAAAAATATGCATATTGTATACAATGGAACAGTTGCTCATGGAGGGAGGGAAGTGTGAGTGGGGTATGGGGGATGGGACATGGTGTTTTTTAAAAATAGAGGAGGCTTACAGACATATAAAATTTCTAACAAGGTAATGTACCTAAAATGTTTATAAAATTCAAAGTGTGATAAAGCGTAAAGTAAACTTGGGGGCAAAGAGATGTAACATTTTGGGAGCTAGACTTTCTAGAAAAATGAAAATCCGAGAGACATTCATTCATTTAGTCTCAATAATATAGGGAGATATTAAATTATAATACACTTGACTCTAGGCAAGCAATGCAAATGTTAGCAACATCTAGGAAGTGGGAAATATTAGAATTTGTATTTCAAGCTAATCTATTAAGAGACACTCACAGGTAATGGGATCTTTTATAATTTATACTGACTTTATTTTCCACAATGAGATGATTTCCTTGAGTCAGAATTTAGCACATCATCATATAATATTAGATCTAAATCCCACTCCAGAAACATTATACCCATTTTTAGAATTTCTATTGTATGGGAAAATCTATGACCAGATTCAACTTGAGATAAATTTATGCTCACCTCCCCACAGAAGAAAAACCATATTTATCAATTAAAATTTTTGTTAATGAAATGCGGGAAAGGAAATACTACGATGGACTTCATTAAAATGCATTTTCCAAGAAGCCTCTTGAACAAAATGAAGTTCTTCATTCACCACTACACTTTCCTCCTTGACTCAGGTCATTACGGTTCTTCAATATGTAGGAAAAGGATCCCCTTCTGCCGTGTACCTGAGGTAAGTTGGATGTTAGTAAACTGAATCATTAATACACTCCCAAATAAATAACTGCAGGATTTGGGGTAGAATTTTGGAAAGAATGCTAATCGGAAAGTTCTCATCCTTGAGATTTAAAAATTAAACCATGGGCTTTTGGTGCTTTTAAAAAATTTTCCTTCCTCCTTCTTCCTCCTTTGCTGCCTTTTCCCCTTTTTTCCTTCTCTTTATTTTCTTTCTCCCATCCTTCCTTTTTGTTTCCTTAGGTTGACAGCCAAAAATGATGTTATAGGAATAGATACATCCCTTAAAAATATTGATCACGTAAGAACATATAGTTTTCTACTCAAACTAAATTGCGTTATTCAGTATAGCGTTGAATACCTATCAGTTTAAATTCTAATTGGGTCGAGAGCTATAAACATTCTCATAGGTTCAATTCATGATTTTTCTCTTTCAATTTATTCATAGGGAATTATGAAGTTGAGGTGTGTGTATGTGTGTTTGGTGCGTGTGATCTAAATATACGTGTCCTCTTTTTCTCCATCTCCCAGTATTAAAATTTATGGCCGCCAACACTGACAGCATGAGAGTTTGATATTATAGCACGACATTCATTTCTGTAATAGTTTAGATCCAACCTACTTTCTTGAATCCCATTTCCCACCACTCACCTCCACAAAGACTATACTCCATGCTCATTAATTTATTTACCATTTCATAAATATGCCTTGTTTGGGTTACCATCTTAATCTGCAGAATTGCTTTGCTTAAATACTCTCTATTTTGAATGAATCTGATAAAACTATTTGGAATAGAGATGGGATTATCAGAAAAATTTTCCCTTTGGATTTTCCACTTTCTCTTGATACTCAGAAGCTACATCTCCATTTCTACTGCAAAAGGCATTTCCTTTTGAAAATACGTGAGATGTCATTCCATAGAAATTACAAGGGTGTTGAAAGCCTGATATCTGGAACACTGATTGCCTTTTAATACATTTTCTATAAAGTTTCCCTCTCCATTGCTAGTTTCTGAGATCCCAAGAAACATATCATTTGAGGACGTTTTCCCATATTCTGGTGTTCCATAATTTCCATAATCATACATTCCACACATGACACTTCTGATAGGAATGAAACCTAATAGTCTTGGGTATAGCTTTCAAAGCTGAGATTTACCCATATCATTCTTACCTCATCTCATAGCTTAGATGAAAGATTTCCTTGGGCTCCTTCATTTTTTTCACATTATTTGGCAATTTGCATTTCCATTCTCCTATCAGAGCAATGGTTGATTTGATCTCAGTGATTTGTACTTTAGTATGCATGTTTCAATGCCTATCCTTACTTAGCAGATGCTTGAGGTGGAAGAAAATATGATCTGGGTATCAATGGCTTCATCCAAGTACATATGAAGGCTTAGAACCAGAAATATTTGAAAACAAGATCTGTAAGTATCTCCCTTCCCCTTTTCTCTCAAATCTTTTTTCCTACTTCTGCTCCAAGACCCCGGGGTTCTAGGCATTCTGATTCTTTTTTTTTTTTTAGTGTTTATTTATTTTTGAGAGAGGCAGAGCATGAGCAGGGGAGGGACAGAGAGAGAGAGAGAGAGAGAGAGAGAGACAGAATATGAAGCAGGCTCCAGGCTCTGAGCTGCCAGCATAGAGCCTGATGTGGGGCTTGAACTCATGAACCGCAAGATCATGACCTGAGCCGAAATCTGTCGCTTAACCGACTGAGCCACCCAGGCGCCCCTAGGCATTCTGATTCTTAATGATCATTTCCTAAATCTCCTTATGTATCTGGTCTAGAATACATAGATAAACCACTCTTTCCTCCACATTAACGTTGCACTCCTTCTGAGTTGTTCTTATGATTCAGTGATCCTTAAACCTGGGCCTCTGATAGGGAAACTGGGGAGGAAAGGGCAGATGTATCTTTTACCAAAGTCCTCTGATTCTGTGATGTTGAGGTCAGTTGGAGATAAAGTTTGTCTTTAGACATGAAGTAGTAGATGTGGAGGAAGTAGGAAAATGGATTTTACCATCTTTTCCAACTTCTCAGTTACTGTAAAATTGTGGTTTCTGAAAATGCCAAAGAGTCTACACTTTGCTATTCAACACATTTTCTCAAACTTTGAAAATTAAAGGTATAAGACTTCAGCATTCCCATATCCCTGGACTTGCTTATAACCTCCAAAAATTTCTTTTTGTTTGTTTCTAGTGAAATATGTATTGACTTAAGCAGACTCAAGCCAGAAAATCATCTATCTTCTATCCTGTTCTCTTACGAGGTGTGAACATAAAAAAATTATGTAATACAAAACATCTTTGTCTAGGGCAAATTATTGTCCCTCAGTTGTGTAGAAACCTGTTCAGTGCACATTAGTACAGTGTGTTTTCAGCTACCTTTAACACATCTTAGAGACGACACTAAAATCTTATTAAAACTTTAGTTCAGTTCTTCAAACAGGTTCATAATGGAAGCCAGTATCTTCTAATTCACCAAGGGACAAAGGGGATACTTACCACATCTTTATTATCTGAGATGTTTAGCTTTGTATATCCAATGGGCCACTGTGCACGCTGTAAACAACTCCAAGATGGTGAATAAAAACAGATATTCTGAAAGGATTTTACCACTTCTCTGTTTCCAAAAATAAAATGTACATTCCTTACAGATATTTATACGTTAACACTTTAAAAATAATCAAAGCATTGTACAATTAATTGCAAGAAGATAAAAAACTAAGAGAATAACTACTCAATATATCCTCAGCCCCCCAAACTGTGGTTATTTATATGTATTTTCTTGATCATGGTGATAACTCATAATTATTGAGGATGAGCATAAGCTGACAGTTTTCTGCCAAATGGATAAAGAGAATCATCGATTACGTTTTCCTGTGTGTGGTTTTGGGTAAGGTCAGCAAATTTTCACTGAAGCCAGTGGACCTCTAGAGAAGATGGACTCGGAACACTCTTGAAGTTCGGTGTTACAGAACTTATTTAATGGAGAGACGTTTAGAATTAGGCCCGTTTTAGGAAAGGGCCCTAAAGAGGAACTTACAGTGGAGGGAAAAAAAAGGTTTGGGTTTATGACTAGACTCAACAGAAGGGCTTTTGTGTCCTATGGGTAGGTGGTTTCCTCCTGGGATTGTGCCTCTGACTATAAACCCCAGTAGACCCATATCCTTGTAGGACACTTGGATAGTTGCAGGCCAGAAGGGCCCAAAGCACTTTGTGACAAGGCCACCATGGGCTATTGAGACCAGTTTTCAATACTGACACCATTTGATAGCAACTGAATCCATGACATGTGAAATTCTGGGCATGTTGGTAGATCACTGAGGTAGTCTACTACTACTCAACTAGAGGTTTGGAGTCCATATTGAATCTTTGGCTGTCAATGTTCTTGAATAATTTGAGATGGTCAACGGGGAAGAAGACCTTGGATTTCTTGCTTATATAAGCATTGGTGGTTCGAGAGATAAGTTGGAAAAATGAAAGAATCAAGATTATAATTGCACTCCAACCCAGTAAAAAGAGACATTCCTATTGTGTAAATATAATCTGAAGCAATACCTGGAGGCTTATGTTTATTCAAGGTTTTACTTTAAGGTATCCTTCAGGGTATGTGTCATAAAATATTAGCATTCCCTGCAGCCAGAAGATGTTTCTCTGATGTGTCATTTAACTGATTTCTGTTAGGGCTCAATTTTGTGTAGTGAAATAACTTGGAATTTAGACCATTTTTTATTAGAATGAATGTTCTGCAAGTAAAGAGCTCTGACCATGAGTAAGTAGATTAACATTTCTTTTCTTTTCTTTTTTTAATGTTTATTTTCAAGAGAGAGAGAGCAAGAGTTGGGTAGAGGCAGAGAGAGAGGGAGACAGAGAATCCCAAGCAGGCTTTGCATTGACACAGGGCTCAAACCTACAAACCATGAGATCATGACCTGAGCCAAAATCAAGAGTCAGTCGCTTAACTGATTGGGCCACCCAGACGCCCCAACATTTCTTAGCTTATTTCTGTAATTGAGTCAGAGACATAAATCATTCCCTGAGGAAGTTTACAATCCCACTTGCTGTAAAATCACTTTCAAAGCTATGTAGAAATAAGAAAAATTCAGCAAAATGCAAACCAATGTATGTGCTTTGGAGCTAGCTAATTAACTAAGAGTTTGAGATTTTGAAGTAAAGAGAGCTTGATGTATTAGGCTAAAAATTTAGAAACAGGCAACATCTGGTAGGCTCAAATCAGAGAAGCTGGTTTCTAGGTCTTGGTCAAAAGCCCATCTCTTTTGACCTCTGTCAAGCTCTGGGCAGATAGGATAGAACAGAAAGACAGGAATCCACAGAGAAGGTTTTAGAACTTATGACTTTAACTCCCACCCAACTTGCTTAGCACTGGTTCCTATCTCCTTGCCATCATAGCTTCTTCTCCCCCCCACATGAACAAACATATATGGTTAAATGCACAAATGTCCACAGTCCCACGTGGATAGAAACACAGCTATACACACATAGTGAGACACAAACATGGACACACTTAAAACAGACTCAGACCTGCTGACAGGAAGATTGACAGACAGGAAGCAGGAAGTTCAGAAAGATCCATATAGTCGTGTGTATACAGAACTGATTACACATAACATTCCAAATCACATCCATTTATAGTGTTCGACTTTATTCTGTCTGAAGATCACATCCCTGGCGAGCATAAATCCCTGGGTCCCTGGGTGTCACAAGTACATAAGGATGTTATTTCCTTCTTTGAAGATCAAATCTTGCTAGAATACACTTGATCATTTAAGGCCTGGGAAAACTGGCTTCCGAGATGAGGTACCTAGGAAGAACTGAGCTGCCCATTATGAAAATACTAGGTGGGCCTATTGTATGCCAGAATTGGTATATAATACCAGTTTTGAATACAATACTAATTCAATACCAGAATTGAATATAATGCCAAACCACTCAAAACACATCTATTAATATTTAGAATACATTCCATTTGCTTACTTGAGGTTTGGGGTGATCCTAGGTTTAGAAAGGTAACCTGTAGTTTGAACCACATTTGTAGCAGAAGGCACACATCAGAGTAACTAATGATAAAGGTCACTGCCATATCCTGCCTAATACTTAACTACTTCGATCGCGCACCAAAGAATTTAAATGTAACTCTAAATCTGAGACTAAATTCTCGTAGAAACCTGGTATTTACCTCGGGCCAAATAGGAGCTTGTGTAGTCAAACTGTATATTATAAACTCAAATGACAGTATAAGCAGACCAATCACGGCAGCGCAGGCACTTACGATGTTCACTGCCATAGTATAGGACATCTGGAACAGAAAGAAGAGAGTCACCAGTCACCGGAAGTTATCCATATACATCACTGCCAGGTACATTCAAGTAGAAGATTTATACAAATCCTGATCTTTCCAGAATAGTAAAGGCCATCAAAAGGACTGTCAGAACTGCAGATTTGTCCCAATAACTGAACAATTCGGGAGAAAATAAAACTTTTGATGTAGCGTGCATATATTCATTCCTTCTCTGACAACTAATTGTTGAATGCCAATTCTGTATCATGCAAACTGTCCTCTATGTTGTTAGATAAAGAGGCAGAAAACAAGTGGCCCTGCTCTCAAGGAAGACTGGTGAGGAAGATGAACAAGTGCCTATCAAATGTGAATAAGATGGAAAAAATGTTAACAATAGAGCCAAATTTTCAGTGCCACACAGGGTCAGATTACCAGAGAGCTAATATTCCAGGAGTTCGCCATGGTTCATTTAACAGTGCTAGAAGGGGAGTCAGGGGGAATTTTGCTGGAGAGACAGGTGTCATCTAGATAGATAGGATTTTATCTTGAAGATAGTGGGGAATTAATTACATCCCTCAAAGTGCCATTGTTTTCAGGCCACATCTTGTTAGGCTATGTACTAAGGACAATGCATATGTAAATGTTGCTGCATAATCACACTTTGTCCATAGATGAGGTCAGAGGAGTGATAAGCCCCATGATACTTTTGGAGGATATCCTTGTCTTATACTTATTTCCTTGTAATCATTTGTATCAGTGGAATTCTATCTTTTTTTTTTTTTTAACGTTTATTTATTCTCGAGACAGAGAGAGACAGAGCATGAACGGGGGAGGGGCAGAGAGAGAGGGAGACACAGAATCTGAAACAGGCTCCAGGCTCTGAGCTGTCAGCACACGCGGGCCTCGAGCTCACGGACTGCGAGATCATGACCTGAGCTGAAGTCGGATGCTTAACCGCCTGAGCCACCCAGGCGCCCCAAATCATATGTTTATCTATATGCTGTTCACTGTTGTACACTGATCTTAATTTATTCTTTTGGAATAAATTCCCCTTAGAGATAATTACATTAAAAAAATGTTCATTAACTCTTAAAATCAAGTATTATTAGTTTTACACTTTCTTTCTTTTTGATTATTTCCACATAAATTTTCAAATCAACTTATCAACACTGAGAAAAATCCTTTTAGGACTTTGATTGGGATTGTATTGGATCTATAAAATCATTTGAAGGAAAACTGACATCTTAAAAGTGTTTGTTTTTCCATCCATGAACATACCCATTTATTTAGATACTGTTCAGTTTCTCTGTGATGTTTTGTAGTGGTCTATGCAAAGGTTTTGGAAATATTTCATTGACACTTAGGGATAAATTCTTGTTTTTTAAGTTTATTTATTTTGGGGGGGGGGATGTGTGTGGGGAAGGGACAGAGAGAGAGGATCCCAAGCAGGCTCCATGTTGTCGGCTCAGAGCCCGATATGGGACTCACACCCATGAACCATGAGATCATGAACCGAAATCAAGAGTTGGATGCTTAACCGTTTGAGCCACTCAGGTGCCCCTAGGGAAAATAATTTCTAAGTGTTTTATTTTTGAGTGCAATTGTAAAGGTGTTTTTACAAATTTCATCTCCAATACACAGAAATACAGTGGACTTCTTAATGTGAATTTGTATTCCTCAATGTTGATAAATTCTAATTAGTTGACTATTTTTTTTGTAGACTTCTTAGGATGTATAGGAATGTCTATGAATAAAGCAGGTATTACCATTAACTTTTTAAACTTGATGTTTTTTATTCCTTCTTCCTGACTTAACTGCACTAGACAAGAACTCCTGTACCATATTATATAAATTTGGTGAAACAGTAATTACTTGCAACATTCAGATCCAAGGGAAAAACAGGTTTTTACCATTAAGTATAATATTAGCTATAGAATGTTTTGTAGGTGCCCGTTAGTGGGTTGAGGACATTCACTTTTACTATTTTGATAAGATCCTTGTAAAAAAAAATTTCAAATGCTTTTTCTTCATTTCTTTAATACCCTAATATATTGAATCACACTGATTGTTTTTCGAACGTTGAACCAAGCTTGCATTCCTGGAATAAATTCTACCGCATTATGATTTTAAAAATATATCACTGAATATGATTTATGATATTTTAAGTATTTTGACATCAGCATTCATTATGGGCAGTGATCTTCTATTTTTCTTTTTCTTTTAAGGTCCTTGCTAATTTTTGGTGTCAGGATTATGTTGGATTCCAAAAATTCCGTTGGAAAATGTTCCTTCTCCTTTGTTTTCTGAAATATTTTGTGTACCATGTGATATCATTTGTTCATTAAATCTTTGATAGATTTATTACTTAACATGTGTGCCTAGAATTTTCTTCATGGAAAGATCTTTAATGATTAATGCAATTCCTTTAACAAATACAGGGATATTTAATTTTCTATTTCTTCTTGTCCTTTTGGTAAGTTGTGTTTTTCACAGTTTATTAGTATAATGTCGTTTATAGCATTTCCATATTATTTCTTTACTGTCTCTAGTATCTGTACTGATATTTCATCTTTAATTCTTGATATAGTAATTTGTGTTTTATCTTATTGTTTCTTGATCAATCTTACCAGAGGTTTATCAATTTTATTAATCTTTTCAAAGAACAAATTTTCAGCTTTGCTAGTTTCTTGTTTATCTATCTTCTATTTTATTGGCACCTGCTCTTATCTTTATTGCTTCATGCCCTCCACTTACTTTGTATTAAATATTCTCTTTCTTTTCTAGTTTTTAAGTTGGAAATTCAGATAATTGGACTTTAAACCCTTCATTTCTTCTACTATACACTTTTGAAAGCTGTAAATTTCCTTCAAGCATTGTTTTATCTCAAAAATATTGATATGTAGTGTTTCTGTCATTCAGCTCAAAATATTTTCTGTTTTTTTTGTGATTTTTTTATTCATGTGTTATTTCTTTTTAAAAAAATTTTTTTTTCAACGTTTATTTATTTTTGGGACAGAGAGAGACAGAGCATGAACGGGCGAGGGGCAGAGAGAGAGGGAGACACAGAATCAGAAACAGGCTCCAGGCTCTGAGCCATCAGCCCAGAGCCCGACGCGGGGCTCGAACTCATGGACCGTGAGATCGTGACCTGGTTGAAGTCGGACGCTTAACCGACTGCGCCACCCAGGCGCCCACATGTGTTATTTCTTAACTGTATTGTGTAATTTCCAAATATTTGGATTATTTCTTGGATATACAATGATTAATTTTTAATTTAATTTGCTTTCATTTTAATTTAATTCTATTTAAGTTATTTCTGTTCCATCAGTAGGTTGCCTATAGTAAGAATAATAAACCTATTCTATAATATTTCGTGCAGTCTTGTGAAATTTGTTATTATTTTCTGTTCCAATGTATGCTGTATCTTGGTGAACATTCTATGTGCAGTTTAAAAGAGTATGTGTTCTAGAGTCTTTCTCTGTGTAGTGTTTTACAAAGATTAACTAAGTCAAATGTTTCAATTTTCTACTCCTGGTTTTTGTTCACCTGTTCTATCAATTACTTAGACAGACATGTCAAAATCTATTATGATTGTGGATTTTTCTACTTCTCCTTTTATTTCTTTCGTTTTTGCTTCATTTATCTTAAACTTCTAATATTAGATACCTACACATTTGTGGTAGTTATGTATTCCTGATGAATTAACACTTTATTACACTGAAATGTCTCTATTGGTAGTCACATGGTATGTCTTCATATTTATTGGTTCTTAATGATTATAACACATGAGCTTCCTTATGCTTACGCATGTCCATCTTTTCATGTATATTTTTTGATATCCTATTACTTCTAGTGGGCATTACTTGTTTGGCTAGTCTGAGGATATTGGACTTTTAACTGGAGTGTTTGTCTATTTACATGTGATATGATTATTGATATATTTGGGTTGTTCTATTTTTTTTTGTTTTTCTTTCTCTGCTTTGAGCTAAAATATTGTTTTTAAGGTTTTTATTTTACTCGTTTGAGAGAGACAGAGATAGTGCAAGTGGGGTAGGGACAGAGAGAGGGAGAGAGTGAATCCCAAGCAGGCTCTATGACACGAGCGCAGAGCCCAATGCAGGGCTCGAGCTTACGAAACCACAAGACCATGACCTGAGCCGAAATCAAGAGTCAGATGCTTAACCGACTGAGCCACCCAGCACCCCTGGGTTAAAATATTTTTTAAGCTTTTGTTTCCTTAATGGGAAATTTCTTTATTTTTATTAATTTTTTTAATCTTTATTTATTTTTGAGAGGGGGGAAGCCGGAGTGGGGGAGGGGCAGAGAGAGGGAGACACACAGAATCCAAAGCAGGCTCCAGGCTCTGAGCTGTAGCACAGAGCCTGATGCAGGGTGCCAACCCATGAGCTGTGATCATGATCTGAGCCAAAGTCCAACACTCAACCAACTGAGCCACCCAGGCGCCCCTCCTTAATGGGCTTTTTAACTGCATAGTTTTGTATTATTGTATAGTCTAGGTTCTACTATATGTATCCTTAATATATCACATTCTACTCAGAATTAATATTGTCCCCACTCCTTGTAAAACATAACACATTTATGGTATTTTAATTCTATTTACTTTTGTGTTACTTTTGTAAAATATTTTACTCACACATGTTATAAAATTGAAAATATAATGTTAATTTTTAAAGTGAGGTATATAATTGACATGCATGATTATATTGCTTTCAGGTATACAACTTAATGATTTGATATTTGTATATATTACAAAATGATCACCACAATAAGTCTAGTTAACATCCATCATCATACATAGTTAAAAACATTTTCATCTTGGGGCGCCTGGGTGGTGCAGTCGGTTAAGCGTCCGACTTCAGCCAGGTCACGATCTCGCGGTCCGTGAGTTCAAGCCCCGCGTCGGGCTCTGGGCTGATGGCTCAGAGCCTGGAGCCTGTTTCTGATTCTGTGTCTCCCTCTCTCTCTGCCCCTCCCCCATTCATGCTCTGTCTCTCTCT